GTCTTCTCCCCAGTCATTGGCTACGGCGCAGACTGGAAGCTTGCCCAGTTCGTGTACGACCTCTGGCTTTGGAGCAGCTTGGGCGGGGCCAAGCACAGCAGCGGCGTCTCGCTGCGCGGCGCATTGGCCGGAAGGTCGTTCTCGCCTGCGTACTGGCAGAATATGCACCTGGCGCTTGTAGACGTCGTCAAGCAGATCGGCTTCCCGGCACTCTTCATCACAGTCGCGCCCTTCGAGCCCACCGCGCCCTATCACTTGTGGCTGGAGGACGAACTGCAAAAAACGCTGCGCACGCGCACCAATTTGCCCGCAGCCGAGACGTTCCACTTGGCGCACCTCCTGGTCCAGGTGGCAGAAGGGCTGATCTGTGGAAGCAACAAGCGGAACCGCAGCGAGAAGAGCAAGTGTTGGAAAGAGCACGTCTTGTCGGCTGCCGACGGAGAGACTGACACGGTGGTCGAGGTCTTCGGTCGCCTGGAGTTTCAGGATGGCAAGCGCAAGCGCCATGTCGGCCCTGCACAGAGCTACCATGGCTCAGGGCGAGCTCATCTCCACCTCCTCGTCTGGATGAAGAACATGGATGCACTCGATTGGTCCAAGGTGCTGAGGGCAGATCTAGCATCGCACGAGCCAGAGTTGCACGACCTAGTAAAAGACTCGCAACTCGACTACGACAACAGTGCGTGGCCGCTCCAGGAGGGACCCACCACCTTCGACCGGCAGAGCCATCGCATCCTGTTGCACCATCCCGCAGATGCCAAAGCCAAGCACGTGAGAGCCTTCCTCCCCGACGTCTTGGCAGCCATGCAATGTCACATGGATGTGCTGACCGGGGACGGGCGCGCTCTGCTGCTGCAATATGTAGCAAGCTATGCGGCCAAATTCAGTGACTCCTTCGCCCAGTCCTGGCTGAACGAGGAGGCGTCGGCATACCACCTGGCTCGCAGGATCCTCTCCGAGTACCATCCGCTCGAACCGGAGATGTGGCTGCAGCTTGGCGCGCAACACTTCAGGCAGGTGATCGCAACGCCTGTGATGCGATGCCTGAGCGTCCGACCGCCCTGGACAGGTCCTCCTGGCGAGTGGGAGCAGCGATACATGGGCTGCTCCTGGCGGGAGGATGACTGCACACTGCTTGAGTTCATGCGAGCTTCGAACAAGAATGGCCGCCAGCGCTCCACACGGACAGGAGGAGGCCGACGCCGTGTAGCGGTCGCTGCGCGGATGAACAGCCACCTGAAGGATGCCTATTACGGGCAGTGGCTCGTCCTCAACGTGCCCTTCCGCAACCTGGACGAGCTGTGGACAGACAGGGTGCTGCGCG